AGAGCCGAAAACGACTTCTGCGCATGGGCCACGAAGTTTCAATCACACTGTAAGTGCATGCCCACACGTGGTATTTTGTGAAAGCCACACTCAATGGGCCCATGTGGCTCTGGAGCTGCAGTTTGTCGACCACTGGACTAGACAACTGACTAGACAATTGCTTTAACCCCTGTGTCATGTATGAACTGTCACAAGTCGGCAGATGAGTCTCTGGTTGTGAAGTCAGTGTCCTCGCCGCTGTTGGCACTGGAGGGCGGGGGACAGGCAGTAGGCCACGTGGCTGCAGCCGTGGCTCTTTGTGGGGAGGGGCTGGGCAGCAGCGCAGGCCAGGAAGAGGGGAGGCTGTGTGTAGACATGGTAAAAGCCCAGAAGCTGGGGCAGCCGCCTTCTTTTGTGTGTGGTTAATTAGTGCCTGTGTTGGGACTTCTGATTCCACTTCCATAGCTTCCCCAGTGGCCCACTATTGTACAGATGACAGTGGTAGGTGTGCCATACCTGCTGGATTCACCTCACAAGCATCCAGGTGGTTAACCCTCTTGCCATCCCTGTCTTTTAGGCTCTGAGCACACTTGAGTCTTTGACATTAAGTAAGCAGTATGTTGAATACCAGGAGCACATCTCTCAAGCGGCACAATTCATAAAGCACCCTGGCCATTGCCTCCACGATGGGAAAAGCTTCCTGGCTCTTCTGGTGAACCGCCTGTACCCGGAAGTGCATTATCTGGACAACATACGATAGAGACACCGACTCCTCAAACACTGCTGCTGTTTATGTTTACATTTACCTTTGCTGTTGCACAAGTGACTGCTCAGCTTCACTGTGGAGCTCAGTGTGGCCAATGAAGTATCGATAGTTGCCTGAGATGCAAGTCAGAGGCACTAAAGAATGCTTTTGTGCATGTGCACGTGCGTTTGCGTGTGTGTGTGTGTATGTGTGTGTGTGTGTGTGAGCTCTTAAAACTTTCCTGGACTTTTCAGTTTTTATGTTCATCCAATGAGATAAACTTACCCAGTTCCACTTGGGAACAGGGCTACTCTCAGTTGCCGAACATCCAGGCCACCTCAAAAGGACTCCTGTTTTCTTTCAATGTCGAGGCTCCTGTGCCAGATCGAACCACCACTTTGGGAATCATGTAGAACCCTCGCTTTTGAGCCACATTTATGATTTTTCAAAGTAAAACAAGTTTTGAAAATTTCTGCATTTCTCAAATGTGGGAAAGTACATCAGCTTAAAAGTGTTATTTCTCTCAGAAGGGAGAGAAGATGCTGAATTAAAGGAAGTCATTGTCCAAGATATGACCACTTGATCCTGATTCTAGTGAGCACCAGAGATGGCGACCGGAGGCCATCTGTCTAAGTTGGGGGTGGCACGCTGGCAGTTTGCACTGAGCCTGCTGAGCACGGGTGTGTTGGTTTGGTCCACATGTGGGCTTACTCTCCCAGTCCAGTGTAGTCATACATTCTCTTCACCCTATCCCAGGCCCTTCCTCTGTTCACATCACTTAGCCTCTATACACCTCTAAATTAGCAACTCTTTATAGACACCAAGTTAGAAATCTGAGTGCCCTGTTGGAGAGAGAGAGAGAGCGCGAGCGAGCGCGCACGCACGCGCTTGGTTCTCTGTTCCTGTTTGGTTCTTCACTCCATTTTGAAACTGAAACAAAGCTAGCAAACTGATTGAATCACTGGTTCATGGAAACTAGGTCAGGTCAAGAGACAACGGAAGGTTGGCTTTTTTTCAATAGCCACATGCCTTCTGTTGTTATTACAGCTCATTCATTACCAAAGCCCTTCTGTCCATTGCCTTGTTCTCTTGTCATCTTTTTGCTCTTGTCATTTCCCCCAGAAATTGGCCATTTGACTCCTGTAATGTGAGTGTTCCCCCCACGTCCCATGTGGTTCAGGGTTCAGTTCTGGAGGAGGCCGCACACAAATGAAAGAGACTAGAAAATATAAATTTGGGAATTAGGATTCAGGTGGGAGCCCAGCTCGAGGAAGGACTCTGCTTTGCTCTGGCCTTGTGATCTCTTTTATTCAGGTTTGGGATCCACCAATAGCTCTTAGGCAGTTCCAATAATAGTTCCATGGATAGCCCATCAGCGAGGGTTTACATAAGACTAAAAGGTGGAAGTGGCTTCAGCTCCCTTTGTCTCAACTAGACAGTGGATGCTGGGCTCTGACCTTTCAGAGCTTTAAGGTTAACCAGCCTTCCGAGTTCCTTGTCCATACCTCTCTGCTAGTGAAGGCAATGGGTGGCTTCCAACATAATCAACCATAATCCTGTTGGCTCCAAATTGATTTGGTTGTTCACTTGCATAATGTGTCTTTTGTTTATGGGTTACCTGTAGCCCAAGGAAATGTACCTGAAAATGTCTAACCATCCCTGTTGCGTTTAGCAGGGGATAGGGACATGGGTTAACAGAGGTACTTTCTGTTCAGACCTCCTCCTGCAGTGCTGCCCCGGACATGTGCAAGCGGTTCTTTTTTAAATGGACAGAGCATTCTGCCTCACAGATGTGGCCTGAAGAGCATCACCCCTGAGCAGCCTGCAGGTGTGTGGGCCACCCATGGCCATCTCAGACGGGCACCGCTCAGAGCTGTCCCTGCTTCTGCTCCTCTCCATGTTCAAAACTGGTCATCGTCCCCAGCTGCGTATGAGAAACTTTTAGAAGCTGTGGACAGTGTAGAGGCTGATTTGGCAAAAGACTTTTTTCGACAGGAAACATTTCGTGTGCTGTTTTCTTTGAGGAGGGTGTAATTATTGATACTCTAGACTGTGAACTTTTTGTGTGACAGTATGTACATTTTAAAGAAAAATATGACTAATCTGTTCATTTTTGAAGGTTTATAATATTTATAATGTATTTGATCTCTAAAAATTATAAAAAATAAAATCATTCTTTAATTGTAGCTGGTGAGAATCTGTTTTTATGTTGTCGAACTCTCTTGTAAAGTTTTCCAGTTGTTAAGGCTGATGCAGATTTTTATGCCTGATGTCATCTAATTTATTTGACAGTGTGCCTTGAATATCAGAGATGTTTGGTCAAAGGGCTGCCTCTTTAACTCCCTCGTGCTTAACAGAAGGTCTACTCACGGCACAGGGTCATCTGAGAGGCTCTGGACGGTGCTTTAAAGACAATGAGTGAAATAAGCAGAGAAAGACAATAACATATGGTCTCACTCATATGTGGAATCTAATGAACAACATAAACTGATGAACAAAATAGATCCAGAAACACGGAAGTATGAAGCAGAGGGACAAATCTTACAGGGAAGGTGGGGTGGGGTTGGGGAGAGATTAACAGGGAACTTATATGCATATATGCATAGCCCATGGACAGACAATAGTGTAGTGAAGGGAGGGATGGGTGTGGGGTTGAGGGGGTCCATGGGGAGGGGGAGGGGAAGGAGAGCATCTGTAATACTTTCAACAATAAAGATTAAAAAGGAAAAGACCCTGAAATAGCCAGAAGGTGGCAATGCTGCTGTGGCCTGGGAATGAAGAGACCTAGTGGGGCCAGTGGCTTTCAGGAATAAGGAGTCATTGCTGGCAAAAACAGTTGCAGGGCCAGTCCCAGAGACAGACCTGGTGCTGCATGTGGAGGCCTGGACAGGCAAGGCCAAGCCTCTCTGTGCCCAGCAGTGTTGAGGGTGATCTGGTGCAGACTCCTCCCCACACGTGGCCATCGGCGGCGCCTGGGGCAGATGTGCTCTGTGCAGATGTGTCCAGCAGTTTTCTGGTCTTGTGAAAAGCTCCTCTGCATCTCCACTCATCCCCCTACTCCACTCCACAGTGCAGAGGATGGTGAGCTGGGAGGCACGGAGACTAAGGCCAGGAGGGCCTGCTGATGTGTCAGCTCAGCACGGTGTGTCCCCAAGTCACCTAGGGTTCAGATTTAAGCATCACTCACTCGCAGATGCCAAAAGTGTGCCTCCTACATTCTGTGCCCTCGCCTGGTCCCTGCCCTGGAGGGTGGTCACACTAGTGTGGGCCAAACACCAAGTCCACTCCCCTGGCCTCTCTGGCGGCATCGGCCCTTAGCAGCTGTGCCCTGGGGTTGGCACATTCAGTCAGTGCTGTGTGCAAACTCTAGGCCTCAGCTGCTGCCAAAGACTGGCCTCTTTAGCTATCTGCTTGGGTTCAACAATGAGGCGCTTTGTGCTTCACCTTTAAAGCTGCCTGCTCTTCATTTTGGGCCAACATCACAGCTTATTTCGAGGCAGTAGTTGATTTTTTTCCTGCTCAGTTAACGTTGTCTTCTTAAGCAAAATGTTGGAAATGGTGTTTTGCTTTTTAAAGAAGTATCTTCTGCTGTGATCTTTCATTCTGGCCAAGCTGGGTCAACTTCTTGGCTTACAACTGGCCATATCTTGTTCTGGTCCAAGATGGTCCTCACATACTTTAACGGCATCCACAGCCTGTAGAAGCTGGGGGTGAAGTTTCCTTCAGTCTCCCTGGGTTCCTGATTTCTGATGACAGTCACTTGAAAAAAAAAAAAAATGAACTACTGACCCAATTTGAGGATAATGTCATTTATTATAACTTTTATTTTTTAATGGGAGATGCACTATCTCTCATAAGCACTGAGGGTTAGAACTTATTTTTCTTTCCATGGTTTAAAATTACTTGTGTTTTCAACTCTTTTTTTCCTCCCCACATATCTAGTGTGGCTTTTAAAAACCCAACTTAATGCCTGGCTGGCGTGTCTCAGTGGTTGAGCATTGACCTATGAGCCAGGAGGTCACAGTTGATTCCCAGTCAGGGCACATGCCTGGGTTGGGGCTCGATCCTCAGTGCAGGGTACGAGGAATGTGCAGGAGGCAGTCGATCAATGATTCTCATCATTGATGTTTCTCTTGCTCCCCTCTTCTCTGAGATTATATATATATATATATTTAAAAACTCAACTTATTTTGTTCATTAAATGTGTAATATTCACTTCATTGTTCAGCATTTTACACACTTGTACAAAGGACATGCTTGTATATGTGTGTGTGTATATATATATATATATATATATATATATATATATATATATTGATGAAAAACAGGAAAAAATGAGAATTGGTTACCTGCAAATAAACTAGACTCAAATTTAATGTACACAAGCTGGACATGGCTCATTTTTGTCAAGTTGGTTGTAAGAACAATGAGCAACCCTAACCCCCACATAAATAATTGAATAGAACTTTCAATTGTTTAAACATCATGCTGTGCCTAACCTGCTGGCCTCTGCACAGACTGTCCCCTCTGCTAGAGTGCCCTTCTTTTCCTACCTCCCAACCTTCATTCTCCCCCATCTTCATGGCTAATGTGTACTCTCTCCACATCCCCCCTCTAGGAATCCTCACGATTGGGCCAGTCATCCTATTTTGTGGCTCCCACAGCACCCCCCGCATAGTGTTGCCCTTAATAATTTCCCATTCACTGTGGAGTCCTCAGGGCTGTCCCCAGTGCACTGCCCAGCCCCTTGAGAGTGAGTGGGACATGTAATTATTTATGCCAAATGGGAGACTCTCTCGAGCAAACATGTCAAACTCAAAGGCTAACACAGGCCAAATAAATAATGCATGCAACCCACAGCCCGCGAGTTTGACATGCTTGCTCTAGAGCTTTCTTTTTACCTCCAACCCAGAAACCCACTACATTAGAGATGGTGGATCCCTAAGTAAGAACAATGAGCAACCCCCACCACTACTGACAATCTGTGATGGGCATGTAGCTTTGGTGAGAATAAACCCTAACTATTTTCAGCCGTTGTGATTTGGGGGTTTGTTTGTTACCACAGCCTGACAGATACACACGCATACCTTACTCATTTTTGTATCCCCCAAACAACTCCTAGCACAAAACAGACACATAAGAAATAATTCCTATCACTATTGTTCTTGGCTGTGAAACTGGCCTCAAAGACCAGTCAGAGGTTCCAAGACCAGCATCCTGTGCCCTTCATTTCTTCCCTGGTGATACAGGACTCTCCCTAGAGGTGCCCCAAAGCATCCCCATTCAGGAAGGTACAAATGCCAACTCCTCTGACCCTTTAACAGCTCGGACAGGCTCTTGGACGGATCCCAGTTATCCATGAGCCTCTCTCACCCACTTGCCCTGGCGAAGGCTCTAGGGGAGGAGGGATCGCATACCACTGCCCTGATTATTAACTTGTAAAATCCCTCAGCCTTCATGCCATCTCCTGGGGGAAGCATGAGAGAGGACCTGTGCTTGCTCTGGGTCACCATTTGAGCATTTGGAAAAGTCCCAAAGGAACGAAAGTTTGTTCCCTTTGCCTCTTCAGTCCCCTGTGGGGGGAATCTTCGTGACCCTCTCCTCTTGCCAGCTCACCCAGGTCCCAAGTCCACCTCCTCCCCTCTGCCTGACCCTAAGGAAGTGATCAACAAGTTCACACAGATGTGTGAATGTGGAAGGCTGAACCCTGCAAGTCAGCTTGGCAAACAGGTTGAAACTGCTGGTGCCTTCTGGGAGGATGCAGGTCGCAGAGAGGTCAGAGCTGCAGCTGCTTTATCCCCAGGGTCCTGCAGCCCAGTCCCTGTGAGGTTTCCCAGCCTGAGGACAGTGGATTCCAGATGCTCTGAGAGGATGGGTATTCGTTTCCTTTTCCCAGGAGTCCCAGCTCCAGGCAGTGCAGAGCAGCTGATGGGGTAAGTGGGGGGCAAAGAGGATAGGGCACTCTCAGAGGAGACCAGGGGGCAGTGGCACTAGGCTCCCCCTCACTGCTGATTCGCTCTTCCTTGGATCCTGCTTGGCACAGCCCCAGCCCCACTGCCCAGGGCTCACACTTCTTCTTTGGAACTTGAATTCTCAGCGAGGCCGCACTTGTCCGAGAACAAACTGTGCAAGTCCCAAGGTCGAGCTCACATATGTGGACAGCTTGGCACTTCCCCAAGTCCCTCCACATCCTCAGACCTTGACAGTCCTCCCAGCCAGGAGGGGAAAATATTATTGTCCACGTTAAACAGTAGACACAAGTGCCTGGTCCACACAGCAAGGGAGTGGCAGTCAGGATGGAGTCTGGGCCTCGGCCCCTATGGCCAGTGTCCTGCCTGCTCTACTGTGGTGTTCTAGGTAAGAGAAGGGCTTTTCCAGAAATTTCACATGGAGCTCACACATGCACAGGCATATACACACTCTTTCAAAAAGGTTGGCCCCACTGACATATTACTGGGGCTCTGAGACACATGTCCATGTCGGAGACCACGGAGCCCCTGTGTGGGGTCTTGACACACAGGAGGTGCCAAGGTGCCTGAGAGCCAGGAAGGGCTGCCCCAGCCAAGCCTCACGCCGGCCTTTGCAGCTCATGGTGCACAAGCAGATGCCTGTGTCTGAGGGGCTCCCCGCGGTGGACACGTGGCTGCGGGTGGACTCCGCGGGCTCCTCTGGTTCAAATTCTCATAATTGGACTCCTGAGCCTGAGACCTGTGGGCAAGAGGAAGTTGGCTGATCACCCCGACTTCCCAAACCATGGCCCAGCCAGGGGCAGCAAGGAGGGATGAGGTGGGTGTCGGGGCCCTGATCCAGGGCCTGGACACTAACTGAAGGTTGGAGACAGGGCAGCACAGAACTTGTGTGTGTGTGTGTGGGGGGGGGGGGGGCGAGTGGGGGTAGGAGAGTGGGGGTAGGGGAGGTAGCTCACTTACCGTGGTGGGGTGTCCTGGGTGACTGGATCCTCTGTGAAGGACAGGGAGAAAGAGAGAGGGGGCATGAATCTACAGGGTGGCTCCAGACTATAGGCCTGGCAGCCCACCCCACCCCACAGTGGACAGTGGTCTGAAGGGAAAGCTGGCAGGATGTGAAGGGTAACGTGGAGGGTGAGCAGGAGATACCGAGGAGAAGGGGGAAGTGAGGGGAGGACCAATAGGAAAGCCTGCCCTTCTGAGGACCCCGAGCACAGAATGCTGGGTGAGTTTGAAGAACCAGCAAGAGAAGAGCCAGTGTGGCCGCAGCAAAAGGGCAGCTGGGGCAACGGTGACCAGTTTTGGATTTCATTCCAGGAGAGTCTGTAGCTGGTGCTACTGGCCAGGGAGGTCTGAGTGGCTCTGGGAAGTCCCCCCTTTAGGGCACAGAAGCAAATTTCCCCTCCAGCCCAGGAGCAATGTAGAGCCCACTGCAGCTCCCTACTAGTCACCCTTCCACGCTTCTGTGCATGTGTTCCCTCCGCTGGGACAGGGGTCCTCAAACTTTTTAAAGTGGGGGCCAGATCACGGTCCCTCAGAGAGCTGGAGGGCCGAACTATATGAACTACTAATTCCTACTGTAACACCTCGGCTGCGCTCACTGCCCAAAAAACCTGGCGGGCCGGATCAGGCTCCTCTGCGGGCTGCATGTGGCCCGCGGGCCATAGTTTGAAGACGCCTGCGTCTAGCCCTTCGTCTTCCTGGCTCATGGCCTCCTTACAGTTCATCTCCCTCTTGCCTTGCTTGTAGAACACTCTCCTTCCCGGCCCCACCCAGATGCCCCCAGAGTGATGCATGCTCACCCTGAGCTCCCACGGTGCTGGTGCTCGGACTTAGGACACACTTCTGAGCCTGCAAGCATCTGCTCACTCCTCACCCCACTCAAGGGCCAAGGGCGGGGAACTGTTTTATTCACTTCTATTGTGAGAACCACACAGTGGGATGAGATGAGACTGCACTTTTCCTTCGCCCTCTTCTCTCCTTTCTGCTGTCTTTCAGTAGTTCCAGGGTGATTTAAGGTATGTATTCTCTAGTCGCATTAAAATTCCTCCTCTTCTCCCCCTCTCCTTTCCCTTCTTCTCCTGCAGTCTTTGGAATTTGCTCTCCAGCATTCTGGGTTGGGGGAAGATAAGGGTTTGCTATTTATAGTCTGGCTACAGGTGGCCAAACTGTTTGGTCTTATTTCTAGCTAGCAGGTCCTCCCGCTGCTGCTGTAACTAGTAGAATGGTACGATTCGCCCAGCCCAGAGGTCGGCAAACTTGTTAGTCAACTGAGCCAAATATCAATAGTACAATGATTGAAATTTCTTCTGAGAGCCAAGTTTTTTAAACTTAAACTTCTTCTAATGCCACTTCTTCAAAATAGACTCGCCCAGGCCTGTAGTATTTTGTGGAAGAGCCACACTTAAGGGGCCAAAGAGCCGCATGTGGCTCACGAGCTGCAATTTGCCCACCACTAGTTCAGCGTCTATGTGGTCAGAGAGCTCAGGGAGGCGTCCTTTAGAGGGGTGGTAAAGGGAAGGGCCCCAGAACCACACTGGATGGTGGCTAGCACTGTGACTCTAGGCTAGAGGCGAGTCCCTTCGCCTGGCTGGCCGGGGCTCCATGATTGTAAAGTGGGTTCACGCTGGTTCCCAGCTCCTGGGTTTGATGCAGGAAGAGGGAACGGAGGGGATGCACAGGCGCAAAAAAACGATGTTTTGGTTGTGTCATGCCAGGTGGTCAGCCTGATGATCTTATCTAAAACGAGAGCCCCCGCCCCGTCGCTCCCCTAGCACCCCCTTTGGCCCGGGCGCACCCACCTAGGCGGCGGCGGCTGGCGCAGGCGGCCAGGGCACCCAGCAGCAGCAGCGCCTTGAGGCCGAGCGCGCCGAGCAGGAGGGCGATGGTGGAGGCCTTGGAGGCGCCGTGGAATCGGAACAGGTAGACGCTGGCCTCGGCGTGGCCCTGGCTGTTGGAGGCCGTGCACGTGTAGCGCCCGTCTTGGGCCAGCGCGGGCAGCTCGGCGGTCACCTGGTGGCCAATGCCCTGGCCCGGGCCCGGCGCGCCGGCGGAGCGGTTGCCCAGGGCCGGGCCGGACCAGGCGAGGGCGGGCGGCGGCTCCCCCTCGGCCGTGCAGAGCGCGCGGAAGGCGTGCGCGGGCCCCGGCAGCACCGAGATGTTGATGATCCGCGGGGCAGCTGCGGGCGGCAGCCCGGGGGGGGGGGAGAGGGCGCGGGGGGGGGGGGGGGGGGAGATAGAGGGAACCGCGGTCAGAGGGTGCGGCCGGCAAGGAGCAAAGGTGCCCTCCTCCGTCTCCTTTCTCGACCAGAAAGGAGGAGGAAGCGGTGGGAGCAGCGCGCAAAGGGGGAGTGAGGGGGCACTTGGGCACCAGCCTGATACAGGCGTGGCCCTGGCCAACTCTGCCGCCGCCCTGTGCCTCGGTTTCCCCAGGTGTAAAATGCGGCTCACTCACCTTATGGGGCCGGTGCTAAGATGTGGCGAGTTAATACGTACAGGGCGCTTGGCCTAGGGCCTGGCCCATAGTAAGTGCTCAGTAAATGGTCCTTATGATCGTGGTGGCCCAGTCTGCCGGTGTGATCTCAAGGGCACCTCCCACCTCCAGGCAACCTCACCAGCAGCTAGAGTGCAGGCTGATGCTCTGCACCCAAGGGCCTGTGTTAGACAGGTGCCCCCCACAACCTCCTTCTCCCCCACCTCCCCCGGAGGAAGCTGAAATGCTCTCAGAGGGCGTGCAGCCAGCCCAAGGCACATGCGAAGTTCTTGGGAGGGTCGCACTGCAACCCCAAACTCCCGGACAACCCCGCCCAAGACCATCACAGGTCCCGGATGTTTAAAGCCGTCCAGGGAATTCCCAATGCCCAGCCCGGGGTGAGGCCCGCTGCGCTGGGGGCGGGGACGCTGGTTCCCACGTCTCTGTTACCCCGGCGTCTAGCCAGTGCGCCCCCCAGAGGACGCGGGTGCCCTTCAGCGCGCACAGCGCTCACCCCTCGGCAGCCCTGCGGTCCGATTTAGGGTCACCGTTCACTAATTCTTCTCTCCCCTGGACGTGGAGCTCCTGGGGACTTAACTCTCCAAAGGCTCCTCTACAATGCCCATTCCCGGGCCCACCTAGCCCTTCGGGGCCAGGATGTGCGCGTGTGACAAAGGCCCAGGTGGCCCCGTAACCATTGCCAAGGGTGAGGCCCCGCTCAGGAGAACGGAGTGTGCATGGATCGCCTTCCTGTCCCAGCGGGCGCACAGTGCGGGCACACAGTAGGCCCGCAGATGGGAGGGAGGGGGAAGGTGGCCGCCGCGCTCACCGGTCACGCGCAGCCGGACGCCGTGGCGGCTCTCGTAGCGGTCGTGGACGTCGCCCGCGAACTCCACGCGGCAGAAGTAGCGGCCCGCGTCGGCCAGGGCGAGGCGCTCCACGCGCAGCGAGAGGTCGTTGTGGCGCGGGTTGCCCAGCAGGCGGAAGCGGCCGTGCCGGCTGAGCGCCGTCTGGCACAGCTCGCTGCCCCGCGCCGCCGCGCAGCGGAACACCTGCGGGCCCGCGAACGGCTCGCCCGCGCGCCAGATGGCCGTCAGCGGCCCGTCGTAGTGGCGGTGCGGGTGCGTGAAGGTGCAGGGCAGCACGGCCGCCTCGCCCGCCGTCGCGCTCACCTCGGCCGGCAGCTGCATGGACCAGCGCTGCGTCGGGGCACCTGGAGGGGGAGGTGGTGGTGGGGGCGGTTCAGCCTTACCCGCCCCTGGCCTGGCCGAGGCCCCCCATCTCAAGGACTCCGGAGGGAACCATTGGAAACCCATGATTCAGAAAACACCCCACTCCCCACCCACCCACTCCCAGAGCCTGAAAACCCCAGGACTTAGAAGCGTCCCCCTTTTGGAAACCCATGACTCAGGAAGCACCCCTCCCCCGGAAGGAGGGTCTGGAAACCCACCGGGTGCCATCTCTTGGAACCTTGACTCCCTTGAAGGGGCGGCTCCTGGACACTCCCCCCTCCCCACTTCCCTGGGACTATTTCCTCTCTCTCCGGAGGTCCCACCTTGCCAACAAGCCAGGGACCCCAGCATCTGCCCTGCTGCAGAGAAGTCCTGGATTCTGTGGTTGCTAGAGTCCCACCCCTCCAAGATGGTGAGGATAATAAAAGCACTTACTGTGCACCTCTGTGTCGGGCAAGTTCCCGGTGGTATCTCTCTTAGTTCTCACAAGCGATCCTAGAGGTAAGCATAGGTATGTCTTGTTACATGTTTAGGAACTGAGGCACGGGGAGGTGAAGTATTAATTGCCTTCGGTCACACAACCAGGATGTGGCAAAACCATCATTCAAACTCACTCCACAGCGGCACTCTATTGCGCTAAAGGCATGGGGCCTGGGGTCTCATCCAAGGACACCAACTCTCCCATTCACAGAGGGGAAACTGAGGCCTGGGAGGGTTGTATGTTTTGAAGCTAAAGTGTTAAGTTGGTGGATAAGATTCCTCTAGAATCCAGGCCAACCCAAGCAGGCTTCCCAAGGGGCTGGTGTCCAGACAGGGAGCTGAGAGGCCCTGCGTGGTGGGCCTTTATGCTGCCCCCTTGCTCTGTGCAACACCCCTGACTGGACTCCGTGTCCTCACCTCCTGCGCTGTGAGCCTGTGAAGCACGGCCAGGCCAGAGCCAGAGGCTTCACTCTGCCCCAGCTCACAGAGGGCTGTGAGTTACTCCGGTGAAATTGAACATGTGATCTGAGAGAGCTGTGGGCTGGGTGGCGGGTGGCTATCAGTGTGGGTCCTCAGAGGATCAGACCAGGGATTGTGCCTCCCCAAGGAGGGAGGGCAGGCTTAGCAGCTAGTGCCCAGCTGCAGTTCCCAAAAAAGAATATTTAGGGAGAACAATACAGCAACCCTTGTATTTCCAAAAAGCTTTGCAAAGTACATAGTTCTTTCACACACATCAGGTCACATCCTCAAGACACCCAGGGGAGAAAAGCAGGGCCAACATTGTTGTAGATCAGAAAACGAAGGCCCAGAGGCACACAGGCAGAAAGGCGGGAGGGAGGGAAAGGGGGAACCCAGCTTTTCTGATGCCAAGTCCAGGTAGCCTGGCATAGACCCTGGCGGGAGTCATCTCCCTGTGAACCATCCACAGGTTAGAGCATTCCTCCCGCACAGAACCCCTGTCTACACCACCACGTGATGCCACTAATGCGTGGAGCATTGTGCATCCCCTCCCATGATAGCCCTTCCAGGAGCCCCTCACGGCTACCAGACAGACCCATTAAGCCTTCTCTTTTCTGGTGAAGGTCCCAGCCCCCCACTGCCCCTCCCTGCTCCCACTGCCTGCTCAGTATTTCCTGCAGTGTAGGGTCCTGACCCAGGCTCTAGGTGTGGGCTCCAGGTGTGCTGGGCCTGCAGAGTGGGGTCTGAATCGGGTTCTGTGAGTTGTGCCTCATATACAACCTCACTTTGCCCTTGTGTGAGCTTGTGATCAAATAAAACCACAAATCCCCCCCCCCCCACACACACACACACACATAATCTGCTAAACCAAATCTCTTTTCTTCCGGACAAGTGGAATTACGCTTTTGAACCCAAATGGAGGACTTGACAATTATCCTGAGTAAAAGCTTGTTTGCTCAGTCTTTAACAATCAAATTTGAGAAACTTTCTGAGGTTTTGCTGGTTCAGTCAGTACTCCCAGCTGCAAAAAGCTCTTGGGACTCAGCCCCTGCCTCAGTTTCCCTGCATTTCCCACCCTCTGTAACTTCAGCCTCCTCTGAACCCCTGCATCTCACTGGCATCCCAGACCCCCCAGGTATTGTTTGTTCTTGTTCATTTATCACCTGGCAAACATTTATTGGACACATCCCCACTCTAAGCCAGGTGAGGGGGTTACAAAGATCAATAGGAAGATTTACCAGCCTGCTGGAGCTCACAGCTCAGAAAGGGAGGCGGATCCTGGAACACATAATTACACCACTGCCTGCCAGGTTGCTCTCATGAGAGGCACAGTGTTCCCTTTGTCTGAGGTGGTTCTGGGCCCTTTCACTCACCAGCTCCCTCCTCACCGCCCCCAGGCCTCCTCTGAGTCTGCCTACAGTGGGAGGCCTTCCTTGAGGCCCAAGCCTGGGTGTGGAAAGTGGGTTCTGCCCTTCCCTGTGCCCCAGGGCTGGCAGAGGTAGTTCCTCTGTGTGGGCATTGCCTGTTCACTGTGTGTCTCGCCCAGGTACCCAGAAGCTCTGGGAGGGCAGGGCCCGTGTGTGTGGTCATACTTGTGTTACTGCCCAGCACGGTGCCATGTCACATAGTAAGTAATGCAATTGCCATGACGGGGGTGGGGGGGGGGTGTGATCCGGCTGGCAGGAATGGCTGGGCACATGGTGGGGGAGAGGCATCGTGCAGATAGTAGGCAGCAGGGAGTGAGGACCCATGGGAGAGGAGAGGCCATTTCAGCAGAACCTTGGGAAAGGAGTGGGATGTTACTGAGTCTCGGGGTGGATTGAAGGCAGTCTCAGCAAAGCGGACAACAGGGCAACGCAGAAGACAGGGGCATCAACAGAGAGGCTGCAGGACATGTGGGGTTTAGGGGGCCAGAGTTCACAGAGCTTTGGGGGCTCCTTGGCGGACATACCTCATCTCATCTCATGTGCACAACAACCCCGTTAGCCCATTTTTATTATTTATTTTTTAAAATATATTTTTATTGATTTCAGAGACGAAGCAAGAGGGAGAGAAAGATCAATGATGAGAGAGAATCATTGATGGGCTGCTTCCTGCATGCCCCACACTGGAGATCAAGCCAGGCATGTGCCCGGACTGAGAATTGAACCATGACCTCCTGGTTCATAGGTCAACGCTCATCCACTGAACCATACCAGCCGGGCTAGCCTCTTTTTAGAGATGGGGGCGGGGTGAGGATTGGGGCTCAGAAAGCACAAGTGACATGACCAGGTTATCTGACTAACCAGAAGCAGAGAGAGGCAGAACCTGAGGCTTTTCCCTCAGGGGTTTGAATTCACCCTGAAGTGTGACACAGATGAGGTAAGGTGGGGATGGGGGTGGGGGGATGGGGCGGGGGTTCTGCTGTAGTCGCAGAGAGTCCACAGAGGCCTGCACTAAGTGTTACCCTCTTGGCTTCCCGTAGGGCTGGGGGCGGGAACCTGAGTTTCCTGTTTACCTGCTGTAGGATGCCCTCTCACATGGAGACCTTTGGATGTATCCCCCCACGGGACTCTAGGTTGGCAGGAATTGCCCAGGGTATGGATGCGTTTGCTTTGGTAGGAATCCAAGCTCCCAGCATCCTGTGACATTTACCATTCTCTCTGGCAGCTCACACAGTCTCCTGTCTCTTAGGACAGGGGAGGGAAGACACCACCCTTTCTTTAATTTCCTTATCCCAGGTCTGCCAACCTCTGGAGTCAGCGGGAGGCCCATGTTCTTCCCATTGTCCAACATGCCTCCCCTCAGTGGTGGGCACAGGGCATGGTGGAAAGTATTTCAGCTTTGGCACAGCTAAGCCAGGGGGGACAATCTTACTTGGGGTCGTTCTCTCTTCAGACGTGTATCAAGCACCCAGTTTGTGCCTGCACTGTTCTAGGCTCATTCATGTAGTAGGAGCTGTTTGGGCAAATTTTTTTTATTATTATTATTTTTTTAAAATAAATCTTTGTTGCTCAGATTATTACAATTATTTCTCCCTTTTCCCCCCATAGCTCCCTTTCACCCGGTTCCTGCCCCACCCTCTGCCCTTACCACTCCCCCCCTCCCCCGCCATTGTCCTCATCCATAGGTGTACAATTTTAATCCAGTCTCTTCCTGCACCCTCCACGCCCCATTCCCCCTGATAATTATCAATCCACACCCTTTCTTTGTTTGAGCAAATTTCTTAAATGGCCCAGGTCTCACTCAACACATAGTAGGAGGTGTCTGGGCAAGTTTCTTAAATGGCCCAGATCTCACTCATCACATAGTAGGAGATGTTTGGGCAAATTTCTTAAATGGCCCAGGTCTCACTCATCACATAGTAGGAGATGTTTGGGCAAATTTCTTAAATGGCCCAGGTCTCACTCAGCTTCTCTGTGGCAGAAAGGGGAACACAATACCTTTCTCATAGGAGGAGGATTGAATGAAATCTCTGTAGATCACAGTGCCTGACACTTAGCTCAATGAGTAGGTGGGCATATAATCCAGGGTGAGGCAGCAGGGGGTTAAGACACTTAGATGTCCTAACATTGCACCATTTGCAACTGGATTTGGCATCTTAGGCCACAGGAAATTCAATAGCCTAGCCCAGTGGTCGGCAAACACATTAGTCAACAGAGCCAAATATCAACAGTATAACGACTGAAATTTCTTTTGAGAGCCGAAAACCGACTTCTGTGCATGGGCCACGAAGTTTCAATCGCAATGTATGTGCGTGCCCATACATTGCAATTGAAACTTGGTATTTTGTGGAAGAGCCACATTCAAGGAGCCAAAGAGCTGCATGTGGCTCTTGAGCCGCAGTTTGCCGACCACTGGCTTAGCCCTTGCTTTTAACTCACCTGGTAGCCAGTCATTTCTTTGTGTATTTATTCACTCAGCAGCTACTCATGGAGGGCCAATTGTGTGCTAGACATTGTGTTAGGGATGCAATTACTGCGACAATGAATGGCCCTCCTCCTTATGTTTATGGTCTGGCCATTGCTCAGCCACCGTTTGCTTTTCATGTATACACAGGTCTAATGGTCTGTTTGGTTAGCACCCCAGCTCAGGGAACCACAGAGTGAAAAGCTGGAAAATCGATTGTGTTTTCAGACCCATTGAAAGCAGCAAGAAAAGACAGCTGACATCCTGGGAGGAAAGAGCCTGTGAACACAATGAAAAGGCAGCTCAGGACCCAGGACAGAAAGGCCAAAAGCTCAGCACAGAAGAGACTTTCAAAAGGAGTGAGGCAGAGGGTCTTCAGGCACTGTGACCACACAGGCTGTGTGACAGATGCTTGTAGCTGTGACCCAAGTCACCTTGAGGAGGTTCTTTGCCATGAGAGGTGTGCCCCAAAGTGGGGGATCAGGCATCTGTTTTGGGCTCCAGCCCAGGCCAGACTGACCCTGACTTGGTGACTTTAGGCAAGTCTCTGCAGCTCTCTGGCCTCAGTGGGCTCATCTGTGAAATGATGTCTCAATGTTTACTAAGCTGACTTTTCAGTCTAAAGTCTGTTCTGAAAATAACATTTGGATAAAAGTGATAAGGAAGTAAAATAGTTTAGAAATGTCTTTTTAAGTTAAAAGACATATTTCTAAAAATAAGCCATTAGGTATCCAGAAAACTTAGTGATGACAGGTGCATCTGGCCCTTGATGCCCACGCATCATCATTTACCAAACTCTCCACATGGTTCCCTCATGGTGATTGTGGCTCAGTTGGGAAGGGCTGGGCTGCAATATTGGGCACCAGCTCCTGCGTAACCATAACCATGACTCAACTGAGGAGTAGTTGAGTCACCCTGGACTTGTTATCCCAAAGCCCCATACAATACTGCAGAACCTGGATGGCAGAAAGGGATCTGGATGGATAAGAAATAGAAACTTTGGTTTTGGCTGTCATTGACTAAGAATTCTACCAGTTCCTTGGTGAGGAGGGAGCAGGAACGTGCCTAGAGCCTCTCTGGAGGTCACTGGCAGTGGGCTCTGTGCTAGTCTGCTCACGTGAACTACAGAGAAAACCGCTTATCAGTCTCATCACAGAATGTGGGCCAGTTGCTGTGTGTGGACCACAGACAGGAACGTGATCCCCAGGTGGTCCTGGTGGGACAATGGCTGGTGGGATAAATGCCCTCACAGAAGGGTGCTTTAACAAGAATAGGTCTGCTGGGTGGGTTTTACGTGACATTTTTGGAGGAAACAAGTTGTGGACTTGGGAGGGGGAAGGATGACACTACGTGGGCAGCCAGCATGGACCTCCAGGCACTCAGAGAAACTCAGAGGTACTCCTCCCATGGTGGCTGGTCGTCGACAAGCAGCTAATCTGATGAGTCAGCTGTGTGTGCAGGGCTACCCTTTCCGGGGACACCTGGGCATGCCAACAAGGGTGATCTCAGGGAATGACTCTGATGGTGGCCTCTCAGGCACGGTGACACCGGAAGGTCAAGAGAGGGAGCAGGGAGAGATGTTCATCGTGGCCACCAACCTCACCAGTTAGGTGTGTGTGGGTTGAACTTGGGAACGTTGCCTTCCTCCAATTCCCTCCTGCCCATTGGTTTGCCGCCACAGATCCTTCTGAGCCTACATGCTGTCCAGATAGGTTATCAGTGGAGAAAAGACGAGAAAGGGGGTGAAGTTCAGAGGGGAGAGGAGGGAGTGGAAACAGGAATTCCATTCTTCAGTGAGAACCAGATCAGAAGGGTCTAGGGAAGGCGTGAAGTACACTGATGTGTGAGTACAGGGCCTGTGGGTCTCCGTCTGCTTTCAGGTTATTCTGGCTTCCCCTTACACCCTGGCCTCTTTGGCTGCTCACCTGAGCTGAGATGCAGAGCTACTGTCCTGAGGCCTGTGTCCACCACAGGACGCTACTCTTCAGAGTTTTGATTCAGCCTGTCCCTGTCTGCACTCCTCGCCTCCTTCAGGGACCTGTTCTTCTTCACTCCTCCTCCTCTCCGGGTAGGGCTTCTCCATCTAGCTGCTGACCAGAGTAGCCACCACCAGCAGCAGAAGTATCCTGGCTCCCTAACCCTTCCCATTCCTCCTGGACTCACGATGCAGCCACCTCCTCCCTGACGTTACCTGCATCCTGCATGGGCATCCCACAGCCTGGGTGAATCTGCGGTGGACTGACCTTTTTCTTCAGTGATTCAGAGCTCGTCAACCACATTCCTCAGAGCGCCACACTATGGCCAGGCTCACCGCCACTGCACACAGGTGGTGCAAAGGGAGGGCTGCCCACAGGGGACTCTGGTTCACATCCAGGCTGTGACGTCCCAAAGTCACCTGACCTCCCTAAATCAGGGACAGGAGTCCTCACTCTGCAGGGGTGTGGGGAAGAGTCAATGAGCTGCTCGCCAAAGGTCCAGCACAGACGTCCCTCAGGATGACAGCTGCTGTGATTGCAAAACCTGCTTATCAGAGGTTTGTGGGCCAACTGGGCCCTTTCACAAGGCCACCCAAGTGGTCAGAGCCCAGACCAGTGTCCACTTCCCCCGTTCCTTGGCCTCTCCCACTTTCTAAAAGCAGATTTGCGGGGAGAACTTGGGGAAAGACAAAGGAGAGTGTGTGGGGACCACCTGGAGATGAGGGCCTGCCCAGAGCACTGGGAGCTGAGTGGGTGATGTGAAGAGGGAGAAGGGCAGAGGAAGTTGGGGAAATGGGTTGTGGAGCAGCTTCATTCATTCACTTTTGCCAGCGGCCCGCACTGGGCCCCACGCTCAGAGTGTGGACAGGATGTGACTGTGGCCCTGGTCCTGCAGCCCTTTGGGCTCTCACATCACAGCCAAGCCCAGGAGCCTCCTGCCCAGTCCCGCTGCCGCCTGGAGGGGCTCACAGGTGACCGTCGTCAGAGCAGTTTCAGAAAGTGGGGCCCCGCTCACCTTAGCCACAGACCTGTGGGTTTCAACCATGAGGCAGCTGCCACTGAGATCAACAGGGTCCCTCCACATAAGGCTCACACACGTACTAGCTCAGCCTTCTGCGCCATCTGGACACACAGCTGGAGCACTGGTGCGGGTCGGGCTTGTTCTGGAACATGTGACCGCACATGCTTCCTCTAACTCTGTGCTTAACTGACTCATAGAAGCTGACCCTCAGCAGGAGGGAAACAAATCCAAGCAAAACTCGCTTCTCTCCAAGCTGTGTGCCTTCTGTAACCTTTCATGCCTCTTATTGCATAACCACCGAGGGCCAGGAGCTGTGCGGGGGCCTTTCCTCCAGGATCTAGCTGTGCTTCACATCACCACTGTGAGGTGGCAGGGACCCCACTTTAATGGGGGCTCAGAGAAGTCAGGAAGCCTGCCCAGGGCCACCCAACCAATAAATAGCAGAGCCAGGATTTAAAGCCATGTCTGACATCAACACTCAGGTCCTGTACTGCTGCTCTCCTATCTGCCCCAGGTCTGAGCAGGGCTGCCTCTCCCAGCTCCTACCCTCTATGTGGGACCCAACCTTAAAGCACCCCAGAAAGACGGCCGAGTTCAGGCAGCTTGGGAGAAAAGCCCCTTCCCCATTAGCCTGCCATAGGGCTCTGTGCAGGGGACAGCGGGCAGTGTGTGTGTGTGAGGTCCAGTCTATGGTTCTAACCTCAGCTCCAGCCCCCCCCCCCCCCCCCCCCCCCCCCCCCCCCCCCCCCCAAATCACTCACCAAAGCTTTCTGTGCGTCAGTTTCCCGTCTGTGAAAAGGGAATAGAATAGCTCCTTCCCCAAGGATATCTGAGGCTCACGTGAGTTACTAATTAAAGTGGCAGCACTTAGAGTTGTGTGGGCACTTCCTGTTCCTGTTCCACCCAGACCTGCCCCTCTGTTAGAGGGGGAGGGAAGGAGCTGAAAGGGTGTGAGTTGACCATCCAGCCCTGGCGACAGGACCCCACACAGGCATGTTGTCTAACAGCATAGAACATCACGATGTCAGCGAAGTCGCCAGCAGCACGTGGCAGCAGGGACCATGCTCACAGACACAGATGCGGAGTCCGGGGGTCACAGAAGGACCTCTCAGGCTGGGATCGAGGAAAGAGCTGGGGCCCAGACAGAAGGCCACAGAGGATGGCCTCTGCCATTTATCCCAGTTCTCTCGATGGCCCTGACCATCAGATTCACTCAAGGTGATGGTGGAAGAATGTAGATTCCTGGGCCCTGCTCTCTGAGCTCTGCTCTCTGGTTCCACAGGTCTGGGGTGGAGCTGAAGTATCTGCATTATAGTGTGTGTGTGTGTGTGTGTGTGTGTGTAGGTGTTCTTAAGCCTCACCCGAAAATATTTTTTTTCCCCCATTGATTTTTAAGGAGAGTGGAATGGAGAGAGGAAGGACAAAGAGGGAGAGAAAGAGAAAAGGAAATATTGATGTGAGAGAGACTCATCAATTGGTTGCCTCCCGCACAAGCCCTAACCAGAGCCGGGATCAAATCTGCAACCTAAGTATGTGCCCTTGACCGGGAATGAAGCCCACTGCTCTTTGGTGAGTGGCCTATGTTCTAACCACTGAGAGCCCGGGCCAGGGCAGTATCTGCATCTTAACAAGCATCCCTCTCCTCTGGGATTGTGATGCCGATGGGCTGGGATCAACCTGTGAGGCACACTGAGCCAGGGACACTAACTCACTGAGCTCAAGGACCCAGATGTCACTGCTACTTGGGCCACCACAGAGTTCCTGCTCACCCTTTGGAGGTCCTGCTAGGAGGTCAGGGTGCCCTCTCTCCCTGGCTCTATTTCCCACGTGAAATCACCTGCATCCTCACCCCAAACCTCAGTGTGCTCTCCTCTGCTCCCCTTGGGGTGTGCCAGTGCCCATCGCAACGTAAAACACTGTGTGAGGCGGGGCTGACTTTCCCACCTGAGACAGTGAGAGATTACAACACCCAAAGTCTGTTCAGAGCCTGACTCTCCTTCCCACTCCTTGTCTGTTATCTCCCTGGATCCTCACGGCATTGGGTGGGCCAGGCAGCCTTTCTACAGGTGGGAACACAGGCCCAGAGAAGTCAGGGGCTGCCTCAATCACTTGGAACCCAAGGCAAAGCCCAGACTTGAACTTCTGGCTCTGTCACTCCAGCCTCCCAGAGTGCAGCTCTTCTTCCTCCACAAGCCTGGAGGTTCTGAGTAATTAATCCCACCTTCACTGAGTTTAAGGCGAGGAGACTGTACCGAGGGTTTTGTGAGCACCTGTCCTGTTCCCAGCATGGACCCAAGAGAGGAGTGGGAAACTCACCCATTGGGAGGATGCACACCAAGCAGGCCAGGAGTCGGACGGACCCTTCCATGTTGTGAGCGCCTGGAGAGCAGCCCCCGCATTCGGCCAGGCCACCACAGAGAACCCTTCTTGTTGTGGGTGTGAGGGAAGAAAGGTGTGAGGAGGGGTGGGCAGCGTGCAGGGCTGGGTGGGTGCCGGAGGAACTGGGGAGAGGCGGCCAGGCAGCCTGAGGTATGATCAGATGAGACCCGTGGGGCTTAGTCATGTGGAAAACTAAGAGGGGAACCACCCAGATGATTTTTCAGGACAGGAAACAGAGAAGTGGATAGGGAAGATGCAGGGCCTTTTCTGTAGTCTGGTCCCTTTAAAAAAATGATTGTGCTTATATTTCCTTTCCTCCTCCCTCTTCCCTTCCCTCTCCCTTTCCCTTCCTACATGTTTTAGCGTCAGGATGGGTTTCCTCTCCCTCCAGTCCTTTCTTTTCTCCCCTTCCCCACCCGTTGTGACAAGATGATGAAAGAGACATTGGGGAGGAACCTGCCAACATAATAACTCATCCAAGTGCAGCCAGAAGGCTGTCAGTACCTACAAGGAAAAGGCTTGTTCACAGACGATCCACGTCCATGACCAGGGGCCTCCAGAGGGCCTGGGGTCCTAGACCTGCACCCCAGATTTTGATGGTCATAAGGATCACCTGAGGATCTTATTAAAATTTAGGTTCTGACCTGGGTTGTCTAATGAGTCCCTAGTGCCGCTGCTGATCCATGAGCCATACATATAGTACATCCAGTATGGAGAGCTGAGATCCCCTCCCCTATCCTGGGGCCACTGGGTAGAATATCAGATGGAAATGTGGACCCTGGGGGAGAAGGAAAGCTCTTGGAAGCTTACTTGGTGGACTCCTGTGGGACTGAAAGTGGGAGCTAGAAGAAATATTGTAATATTGCTATTCGCCCTTTCTCTATAATAGAAGTGTCAACCAAATTCACTATTGAAAATGACAGATTGAAACACATACATGCGATTGGCGCCAGTGAGAGCTTTATATGTATGTGTGAGTCAACTTAGCCTTTTATATATATAAAATAAACTTGCTTAATTAGACCAGCCTTCTGGTATAGCTAAACTTTTTCCAGCCCAGTGAAACACCCCAACTTCTCTTTTAAGTAATTGTTAACAACACAGAAATAAATATGAATACGAAGCAGATATTATTATTATAGATCACATAGGGAGAACAAAGGGTAAAATATTTAAAAACAACAGTGTTTGACTACATTCTACTCAGAAAACCTCTGAAGTCATTTTCAAGGTCCACCATTTCTTCTTTTCAGTCGGGTCAAGTTTCTAAACTTTCTAAATCTCTGTTTTCCGGCTAATGGAAAGAAAACAGGATTCCACCCGTTTCCTATCTACCTACTCCAGGACTTCTATGAGGATCAAATGAGATGAGGCACAGGAAAACATATCACAAACATTTGATTAAACTGTAAAATGTTTGCATCTGGCTATAAAGCAAGTCGGGTTCCTGGGCTGAAGAATCCCAAGGAGGCTAGTCATTAGGGAGAAGTAGCCAGGCGTTGCTATGTGACATCATTACCTGGCTCCCACAGCCACCATTCTGGGCTGGGCTGGGCTGTGGGCTGCATTTTGCACCAGGTGCATTGGGTCGCTCTGGGGTGGTGGCGGGGCCTGTGTCCTACTTGGGAGAAGCCAAGTATTGCTTTGTAAGTGCCAGGTCCACAGTGCCTTTTCTCTCTAAATGGCCAGTGCAGCCGAAACCGGTTTGACTCAATGGATAGAGCATCGGCTTGGGGACTGAAGGGGCCCGGGTTCTATTCCGGTCAAGGGCATGTACCTTGGTTGCGGGCATATCCCCAGTAGGGGATGTGCAGGAGGCAGCTGATTGATGACACTCTCTCATTGATGTTTCTAATTCTCTATCTCTCTCCCTTCCTCTCTGTACAAAATCAATAAAAAATATATTAAAAAATAAATAAATAAATGGCCAGTGCACATCATGGCAGCTCCTTGAGCATCTGCTCCCTTGTGGTCAATATGCATCATAGCAACCAGTCAGATGGTTGGATACTCAGCCTCTTATATATACTAGTAGTATAGATAGTTTCAGGACACACCATACAACTCTCCAGTTTTCACAATCTGACTATGAGATGGATCCCCATTTACTATGGCCTATTCACTTCCCATTGGAAACACTCAAGTGCTGATTATTATTAATCTGATTCCTATTAGTTATGCAAATGAAGCTGTAACTTTAACGTTTATTTGGGGCCAAGGCTGTAAGAACACAATGTTGTAAATTACAATTGCCATCTAAAAATAACAGAGGCCAGGAGGACAGTAAGAGTTTCAAAAGTAAAATTCATGTGCCTTAGCAGCAGTTATAGAGGGCCATAAAATTCCTTTCTGAGTATTCCTTTTCTATTCACCTTCAGCTTCCCCTGTTCTTCATTCAGAAATAACCAACATACTAGAACAAACTACTTATTTTTAACTTCTGTTAAAAATGCACACATCCCGCCAGGACCGGTTTAGCTCAGTTGATAGAGCATTGGCCTGGAACTGAAAGGTCCTGGGTTCGATTCCGGTCAAGGGCATGTACCTTGGTTGCGGACGCATCCCCAGTAGGGGGTGTGTAAGAGGCAGCTGATCGATGATTCTCTCTCATCGATGTTTCTAACTCTCTATCCTTCTCTCTTCCTCTCTGTGAAAAATCAATAAAATATATTTAAAAAAATGCACACATCCCTTTCATTCCGTCTGCACTAACATTCCTTCTAAATTTCAAGAGAAACCATAAATAACATTACAAAAGTTATTTCATATACCTTCAGCAAGTATTAACAGCTGGGCTAAATATGCAAGGTCTGAGAAAAGCCCAGAGAACAAGTATAATTCTTATTATGACTAATAGCAAACAGGTAAAGACACTCAAACAAATGAAGTTCAACATCAATTTGTAGGAGTATAGGCCTTGTCAATTTTGTGGGAAAGGTGTCTATTTCTGGTGTCAGTGGCTTCTTGTCCCCCAGAAGTCTTTGATCTTTGCTGTAGGTGGAGCCAACTGTCATTCACAGTTAAGTACCTGATAAGGTCCCTTCTGATGACGTTGGACAGAGTCTTTAATTGATGTCTTTTACAATAGCTGTAATTCATGCTCCTTGTCTTTTGGGAGCTCACCGTGAAATAAATTGGTTACTAATTTATCAGTTCCTAAAAACTGGTTAATAAGTGCTTGATAATAATGCAGAATGTCTCCTTTTAGTAAGGTTGATTCATATATCCCTTCATCTGGAAGCATAGGGTGACCAGGGACTATTTAATGAGGAGTAGATTTTAGGTTGAGGAGAACTATGAGAGTTTTTGGCCACAGGAGATGAAAAGGTTTTGAACATTTGCCCAGTTCAGTTTTAATCGTACCATTTGTATGTTCCACCAATCCAAAGAAGTGGGATGATAGGCACAATGAAAATTCTGCAGAATAGGCCAAATATTACAAGTGAATTGCATTTTTGCCCAGTGAATTGAGTCACTCAATCACTATAACTCAGAGGGAATTCCCCAATTGGGAATTAATTTCCCCCAATAATAATTTACCTATTGTGAAGGCAGTTACTCTTCTATAACACAATGTCTCAACCAAGTAAAAAACAAACAAACATACAAATCATAACTAACACACATTATATTCTTGAAATGGTGGAATTTGGATAAAACCCAGAGTTCCATACCTCAAGTGGATCTAAAAGAAGTGGGAATGTCTTTGGGATTATTTTCTAGCATTATATTTGGACAGATAGAACACATGCTATATACTTTATGAGCTACAATTGGAGAAGGTTTCCAGTAATATTCTTTATTTCATGAAATAATCTTTTCAGGACCCCAATGTATTAGCTATTGTACATGTTAAAGTATAGGTATTTGTGTCACTCAAGTTAAGATTTGTTTCTGATTGGGTCCAAACCACATCTCTTTGTCTGAGTCAGAGATTCCCCCTTTTTGTTGCCATATCCTCTTGTCTCAGTTGTCTATTGGTACTGCAAAAGAGAGTCTTTTATTGATTTAATAGGAAGCAAGGAGGATTATTGGGTCTGGATAATATGGCTGTTTAATGCTGCCTGTCTAGCAGCAGTATCAGCTAAATTATTTCCTTTTGCTTTCATGGTGGCAGCTTTAGGATGCTCTGGAAGTTTGATAACTGCCAATTGTGTCAATTTTGTATGACATCTACTGCCTTTCCCCAAAAATAAAACATCCTCCGAAAATAAGATCTACCTACAGGTTTCCTTCTGAGTGAAATATAAGGTATCCCCTTGAAAATAAGGCCCCCCTAGGCTCTGTCTCAGAATGCTATTGCTAAACATGAGAGATTTGGTCCACTGATTCTGAAAGAAATGGAGTCACAAGAAATTCACCAGGAAATTTAGGAATTGGATTGTTATGATGATGTCCCAGAAGATGATGACATGATTGTCATTGAATAAATGAATAAATTCTTGACACTGTAGGATTCACAGTTCGTCTGGTTTGTGTTGATAACTACTGTACTACCATGCCGTATACAGGTAATAAATTTCCTTTATTTTCATTTAACAATAAATGTGTACCGTATTCTTCATGGAAAAATAAGACATCCCCTGAAAATAAGACCTAGCGCATCTTTGGGAGCAAAAATTAATATAAGACACTGTCTTATTTTCAGGGAAACAGGGTAATAGTTCTACAACGTATTTTCCATTCTTTATGAGCTGCCCTGAGAAAGTTAAGAAGCCTTGCAGCTTCTACAACATTGTAAAGTTGTGAGCTACACCAATAGCATAGCTACTATTAATGTAAATAGTAATTATTTGATATTTGGCCAATTGACAAGTCCAAGTTACAACAACGAATTCAGCTTGTTGGGCAGATCTTATTCAGGTGAATAAGAGCTTTCAATTATGTACCAATTATCGCATGTCCAGCTTGGTAACATCCCCTTTCGTTTATCAGAGATCCATCTATCAACCAAATTAAGTCAGCATTATCAATAGGAGTTTCCTGTAAACCATTCCTAGGAACAAGAAGGTGGTCAGTAAGCAAAACACAATCATCAATGTTTTCATCCTGCAAAGAAGGTAGCAAAGTTGCCGGGTAAAGACTGTTATAATGAGTTCAAATAATGCTAGGCACAGAA